AAAGAAGTAAATGAAGGTGGTGAAAGTACTGACAAAAATCATTTGGGGGGGGGAATCATTTGAAAAGGTCACAAAGCCATCTTCCTTATTTTGCTCCTAAACCACCTCCAGACAGTGCAGTTATCAAAGCTGGATATTGTGTGAAACACGGAGCAGTGATGAAAAACTGGAAGAGAAGATATTTTCAATTGGACAAAAACACAATAGGGTACTTCAAATCTGAACTGGAAAAGGAACCTCTCCATGTATTACCACTTAAAGAGGTTCATAAAGTCCAAGAATGTAAGCAAAGTGACATAATGATGAGGGACAACTTGTTTGAAATTGTAGCAACATCTCGAACTTTCTATGTGCAGGCGGATAGCCCAGAAGAAACGCATATTTGGATCAAGGTGGTCTCCGGCGCCATTGTGGCACAGCGGGGGCCTGGCAGATCAGCCTCTTCTGTAGATTCCCCCTGCTCTAGGATAGTACTCCTATAGGGACCTCACCTTTTGTTTTCCTTTCTCTCCCCCAATCCTTGTTTTTTTTTAATTATTTATTTATTTGTGTGTGTGTGTGTGGCCAGCTCAGCCCACCGGGGGCAGGGCTGGCTGGCATGTGGTGCTGGGGGATCGAACCGCGGCTCCTGTGCGTTGCTAAGCTTGTTCCAAGTAGGTGCTTTAGACCACTGAGCCATCTCACCAGCCCCTGTTTAGTTTTTTTTTTTTTTTTTTTTTTTAATTTTTATTTTATTTGTGTGTGTGTGTGTATGTGTGTGTGTGGCCAGCTCAGCCCACCAGGGGGCGGGGCTGGCTGGCATGTGGTGCTGGGGGATTGAACCACAGTCCCTGTCCTTTGCTAAGCTTGTTCTAAGTAGGTGCTTTAGACCACTGAGCCATCTCACCAGCCCCTCCCCCCCGTTTAGTTTTAAAGATGGCATTGCAACCTTTACCGAGTCTTAAGTATGTATGGAATATTATGATAACACATAGTAGTAGAAAGGTGTGGAGATGGTGTGGAGATTTTTATATTTCACAAAAATATACATGTGAAATAAACTCAATATTTTAATTAAATAAGTAAATAAATAAATACATACCTAACTAGCTACTCATCTATCTCTGCTCTAATCAGCATAGTACATCACAAACACTTACCCTTCCTGGTTGATCTCCACCATCCACCAAATGCCAGTAAATCTTGAAAGCACCTCTCCATAACCATTGTACAGGATAACCAACAGAAGCTAGGCGGGGGCCAGGGAAATAGCTCAATAGAATAAGTGCTTGCCTGGTAAGCACAAGGGCCTGAGTTCAATCCCTGGTTCCACAAAAAAAAAAGCTTGGCGGGCCAGGCAGGAAAAAGGCAGCTTCAGTCAAGGGGTGAGACCTCCAAAGGATAGAACACTTCAGACTGCAGTACCTCAGCGCAATCACTAACTCTGACAGCTTCGTCATGGGCCTAAGGCCCAAAAGAAAAAATATTCTAATTAATGATGTTTCATATGTATTGTATAAAATTAGTGATTTGTCTAATTTAAGTAAATCAACTATAGTCCTGCATTAAGAAAATACTGAGAATTTTTGGCATATGACAATGGACACTACAAATGCAACTGGCCATATCCTGCCTATATCCTGACCACAGGTAAATCAGCCCATATAATAGTTTAAATAGTTTAAAATTTTTGAATTGGCCGTTCCCCACTCCCCACCCCAGGTACACTGAGCCGGCAACAAGACCGGGTGTGGTGGTGCAGGCCTATAATCCCAGCGCTAGGGAGGCTGAAAACAGGAGGATCACTACAAGTCCAACCTGCATAGTGAGACCCTGTACCAAATACATTAAAAAAAATCTTTTTAATTGGATCCCAATGCTTTATTTCTGTTTTGTTTTTTGTTTCTCTGAAACACAGTTTCACTATGTGATTCAGGCTGGCCTTGAACTCACTATAAGCCATTCTTCCTGCCTCAGCTTCCCAAGTGTTGGCATCACAGTACCACACCTAGCTGGATGCCAATGTTTTAAACTCTGTAAATATCACATTTAAAAATTAAGATTTCTGGTTTTTCATGGAAGAATAAAACTAACAGATCTGGCTGCACTGAGTGTATTTCTATGTGGTAACGAAGTAACAGAAACTGAGGAGAGCCTGCCCCACTGACATAGTACTTGGTCTTTAATTCCTTCCCAACAAACAAAAGCCATGGATATGGTTAATACCTAGCTTGCTTGGCCCCTGTATATTAGACATCTAGCCCCTGTGGAAAAGGGTTTGCAACATCTGCTGTGTATGATACTGCTAATAAAGTCTTCAACAACTAAAGAGTCTTAAACCATTATTTCCATAAATCTCCTTACTAATATTCATTTTTCTACAAGCCACTATAGTTACAAAAACATAACACACTAATTCCTCTGAATTTCATTCTTCTACTTCTAGTATCCACTAACAATAGGTCAGAATCACCTGGAAAGTTTGTTAATGTACAGACTACTGACGGCTGACAGAATTTACGGTGCAGTAGTCTGGGGTAGGATAATATGCAATTCTAGCAAACGTTGCAGCACTGCTAATGCTACTGACACACTGTTAAGGCTGTGTCGAGGAGCCCTCCAAAGCTTCCTGCAGTCGTGGGTGGGGCTTTTCAGAGCTCACTGGTTATAGGACGTGTGATGCTAGGACTAAAGGTGTCCCAACCCGGGCAGAATATAAGGGACAGAAAGAGAGGTGCTGCTGCCACATGCTGCTGCTGCTTCTGTTTCTGCTACCTGTTTGTTGCTGCCTCCTGTCTGCCATGCAATGCCCCTCTATTAGGTGCCACTGTGCAGTGAAGCCACTGAATTATGGACTAATACCTGTACAAACCATGAACGAGGGGCCAGGGAGATAGCTCGGTGGAATAAGCGCTTCCCTGGCAAGTGCAAGGGCCTGAGTTCAATCCCTGGTTCTGCCCCCCAAAAAAACCCATGAATGAAAATCAACCTTTCTACCCTTAAGACATTTTAAAAAATTAACTTTTTTAAGAAGATGTCCGGCATTTTGTTTCAGCAAAAGAAAAGTACCTAGGGGCTGGGGAGATGGCTCAGTAGAATCGGCGCTTGCCTGGCAAGCACAAGGGCCTGAGTTCAATCCCCGGTTCCACAAAAACAAAAAAAAAAAGAAAAGAAAAGAACAGTACCTAAAACACACTTTTTTTTTTTTTTTTTTTTTTTTTTTTTTTGCAGAACCGGGGCTTGAACTCTGGTCCCTGTGCTTGTTGGGTAAGCACTTATTCCACTGAGCTATCTCCCCAGCCCCTAAAACACACACTTTGAGAAGAGCTGTTGTGCATCAACTCAGTGATGAGTACAGATGAGTGTGTATTTGTGTGTGTGCGCATTTATGTTCATGAATGCTAGGGATTAAAGCAAGGGCCTTGGGCATGATAGGCAGGGACTCTACTTCTAAATTATATTTTCAGTCCCTACTCCATGTTACTAATGTGAAAATTTTGCGTGATCATTTTATGTACCTCTCTGGTCTACCTCTAGAGCAGCAATGTCCAACAAAAAAATTTTTTCCCATAATTTTATTGAGAAACAAATAGAAATGAGACAGCTGCAAATCACATCGGTAGGACAGTTTCAATAATTAACACACTGCATACATTCTTCCTAGTGGTTAATTGCTGTACAAGAATCATTCTATTCATTAAGAGAATGTAACTATAGATCTATCGAAACCACTTTGAATAAACAAATACAATCGTCTGTATACCCTTTTTTTGTTAAGTTCCGTTATTTGAATATTATTGGTGTGTAAACTCAGCAAAATATTCTGAAAAGAGTCCAGTAGCCCATAATAGTATTGGGTCTTCCACTTGACTGGCTATGTCAGAAATTGTTGACCTCATCTTGTCTTTTTTTTTTTTTCATAATTTTATTGATAAACAGATAGCAATGAGACAGTTTCAAATCAAATTGCTAGGACAGTTTCAATACCTAACACACTGCATACATTCTTCTTAGTGGTTAATTGCTATACAAGATGTGGACTTGAGATCCTATTTACAAACACCATTAGAACAAATCATTCTATTCATTAAGAGAATGTAACTATATATCTATCCCATCCACTTTGAATACAGAGATACAAAATGGACATTCATCTGTATACCCCTTTTTTCCTAAGTTCCGTTATTTGAATATTATAGGTGTGTAAACTCAGCAAAATACTCTAAAAGAGTCCAGTAGCCCTTAATAGCAATGGGTCTTCTGTTTAACTGGCAATGTCAGAAATTATTGACCTGAGCCAACAAAACTTTTTGCAGTCATGGACATGTTATAAACACAATGCTGTCAGGGCTGGTGAGATGGCTCAGTGGTCTAAAGCACCTACTTAGAACAAGCTTAGCAAAGCACAGGGACCACGGTTCAATCCCCCAGCACCACATGCCAGCCAGCCCCGCCCCCTGGTGGGCTGAGCTGGCCACACACACACACAAATAAAAAAAATAAATAAATAAACACAATGCTGTCCAACATGAAGAAAAGCTATTGAATACATGTAACTAAAGAATTTAATTTTAATTTTAGTTAATTTTAATTTAATCAGGGAGATAGCTAAGAACCTGCCTGGAAAGTGCAAGGTCCTGAGTTTGATCCCTGGTACTAAAAAAAAAAAAAAAAAAAAAAAAAAAAAAAAACCTTTAATTTAACCACATGAAGTGAGTGGCTCCCATATTAGATGGCACTGCCCTAAAGCTCTTAAGTAACTGACCTGGGGTCATGAGGGTGTGACAGGAGAAAACAACTTTTACGTATGTATAAACAGCAAAACCCAGAATTAAGCATGTGAGCTTCAGCTAATTTTCAAACATCAACTTTAAATATTTTGAGCTGTGACCAGAAGTAACCATGCAGGGTAAAGGTAAAAAAAAAAAAAAAAAAGGTTTTATTATATTGGTGAAATGAAAGAACCTCAACCCACTTAGCCAAAAAATGCAACAAATCATCAGTATCATTCTTTTTTTTACCTTTTATTCTGCTGGGAATCACAGTCACCCAGTCAGGTCCACTGGAGTTGATGGGCATTTTAATATTGACACCACTTTAAGAGAAAAGAAAAACAAAGCATAAGCTTATATTCAAGGACATTTATTTTCAGGTATGCATCTTTATCTGCAAATGAAAAAATATGGGTATAATTCCACAGAGCATTATTACTATAGGATATACTTTAAGTTGCTAACCAATACAATTAATAACTAATAAACTATGTCTCCTTTAATACGAAGGTTACAAGGATATATAAACTGAAGAAATTTTTTTTTTTTTTTTTTTTGGCAGAACCGGGGTGGAACTCAGGCCCTTGCGCTTGCCAGGGAAGCGCTTATTTCACTGAGCCATCTCCCCGGCCCCCTAAATCATCTCTTCATAAGTTTTTATTTCACTATATACCACTTATCCATGTTGAGTATAAAATTCAAAATAACTAATTCTGCTTTAAATTACTTCCTTTGAACTTTGAGAATGGCTCACACTGAGAGGAACATCCAGTTTTCAGACTGTAAGTCTAGAAGCACGAAATCACAGATCAGATTCCTCAGCCCTTCTCCAGATCTGAGTCACAGCGGGGACACTTGCCCCCAGGGATGTGGACACGCAGTGCTTGATTCACCATGACTATGACTCTTTAGTGCCTGTTTCCCTTACTAAAACATGCAGTCCTCGACATGGATGTTGCTTCATTCACCTTTGTGTCTTGTTCAGCATTTAGCACATGTCCTGACTACTATCCATGTTCAATAAAATTTTTGGTCAGCTGCATAAAGAACTGAGGGAAGTCGGGCATGGTGGCACATGCTTGCAATCCCAGCACTTAAGAGGCTGAGGCAGGAGAACTGCAGTGAGTCTGAGGCCAGCCTAGGCTACACAGTGCGTTCCAGGCCATCTCAAACTACATAATGAAACCCTGCCTCAAAAAGATAAAGGGCTGGGGCTTCCCTCCGCAACAGGCGCGGGTCACGCTCGCTCGCTCCCTTTCTGCCGCCATCTTGGTTCCGCGTTCTCCGCACAAAATGCCCGGTGAAGCCACAGAAACCGTCCCTGCTACAGAGCAGGAGTTGCCACAGCCCCAGGCTGACAGGGCCTGGAACAGAATCTGACAGTGATGATTCAGTACCAGAGCTCGAAGGGCAAGATTCCACACAAGCAACCACACAACAAGCCCAGCTGGCGGCAGCAGCTGAAATTGATGAAGAACCAGTCGGTAAAGCAAAACAGAGTCGGAGTGAGAAGAAGGCACGGAAGGCTATGTCCAAACTGGGTCGTCGGCAGGTTACAGGAGTTACTAGTCACTATTCGGAAGCCTAGGAATATCCTCTTTGTTATTACAAAACCAGATGTCTGTAAGAGCCCAGTTTCAGATACCTACATAGTTTTTGGGGAAGCCAAGATTGAGGATTTATCTCAGCAAGCACAGTTAGCAGCTGCTGAGAAATTCAAAGTTCAAGGTGACGCTGTCTCAAACATTCAAGAAAATACACAGACTCCCACTGTACAAGAGGAGAGTGAAGAGGAAGAGGTTGATGAACCAGGCGTGGAAGTTAAGGACATAGAGCTGGTTATGTCACAAGCAAATGTGTCGAGGGCAAAGGCAGTCCAAGCACTGAAGAACAACAATATGGATATTGTAAATGCTATTATGGAACTAACAATGTAATAATTGGAAAGGAGGGCTTTTTCTGGTGTTTCAAAAAGGTCACTGCAGCTTGGTTTGAAATTTGTACTGTTTCTATCACTAATAAAGTTATGACTTATTGGATGAAAAAAAAAAAAAAAAAAGATAAAGGGCTGGGGTGATAGCTCAGCAACATAAGCCTGGCAAGCACAAGGTCTTGAGTTCAACACCCAAAAAAAAAAAAAAAAAAAAAAAAAAAAAAAAAAAAAAAAAAAAAGATGAAGGAGGAGGAGGAGAGAGAAAGAGGAAAAATGGGGGGAGGAACAGGAGAAGGAAGAAAAAAAGAAAAAAGAAAAACTGAAGGAAAGTAAAGGCCAAAAGAATACTAAAAATTCAGTGCAACTATTCTGGAAACCAAGTAACAATAACTAACCTTCTACACTTAGATCAAAAACTAATAGCTAGGAAAGGGGGACTTAAAAGTGGAAGAGGCATTATTACAAGTACAAACCCCACACAAGGAATATAAAGATTATATATGACAAATACGTACTAATGAAAAAATTTTAAATAACTAGAAAAGAATGACACATACCTATAATCACAGCTACTCAAGAGGCTGTACTAGGAGGACTGCATGTTCAGGACAATTTGGCAAGACATTGTCTCAAAAAAAAAAAAAAAATTAGAAGTGTAGCTCAGTGGTAGAGTGCTTGCCTAGCATGCCCAAGGCTTTGGGTTCAATCCTTACTACTGAAACAATAATAAAGTAAGAAAAGATTTAACCTTCTAAACTCTTGATTTACAGGAATGAACAGTCATTTTAATATTTCATCAATTTTAGAAAATTGATCATCTCATTTCAAAAATAATTTTTAGGAGCCGGGGAGATGGCTCGGTAGAATAAGCGTGTCCCTGGCAAGCGCAAGAGCCTGAGTTCAATCCCCAGTTCTGCCAAAAAAAAAAATAGTAATAATAATTTTTAAGCTTTTACTCTACTCCAGGTATTCCAGTAGATGCTAAGACTATCATGGTAAACAGGACACACAGTATCTTCTCCTTCATTAAACTGACATTCTGATGACAAAACAGATGCTAAGCAAGTAATAAAAGATGTATAGAGGGCCAACCCCACTAGAAAATAATAGAATGGCCTGTAATGGATAAGTGACATTTAAGACAGAATATGACTTAAATACTTTCAGGAGTGTAATAATTTTCCTATAAAAAATACATGTAGGAACAGGGGCCAGGGAGATGGCTCAGTGGAATAAGCGCTTCCCTAGCAAGTACAAGGACCTGAGTTCAATCCCTGGTTCTGCCAAAAAATAAAATAAAATTAAATAAATAAATAAAATAAAATACCAAAAATAATAAAGCCATTGACAAAAAATACTTGTGGGAAAATTTCCTATACTTTTTTTTTGGGGGGGGGGCAGAACCAGGGGTTGGACTCAGGCCCTTGTGCTTGCCAAGCAAGCGCTTATTCTACTGATCCAGCTCTACGACTCCCCCCATACAATTTCACTACAAAAGTATTTAACCTGAATGCAGTCGTAGAAAAAAAAAAATAAACAATAAAGTTTTTTTCTTTTTTTTTTTTGAGAAGGACCTACAAGCTCTACAGGGTCTCACTACGTAGATCGGACTTGTAGTGATCCGCCTGTGTTCAGCCTCCCAAGAGCTGGGATTACAGGTGTGCACCACCACACCCAGTCTCAATCACCATCTCAGAGCACCCTGGGGGTGGGGCCGGCATGGCACTAAAGCAATACTAAAATTGTTTGTATCATCAAAACCAACATATTCTAAAAAAAGCCTTCTGGATTTTTGTGTGATCATGGGTTAGATTAGCTAAAATAGATAACTACTATTATAGACAACGGGAAAATCTTGAAGATGAACTGAATATTACCCTGTAGTGCTATATCAATGCTAAGTGTCCCAACTGTAATCACTGTGGTGTGACCGCACTGGTGATGCTTAATTGTAAGATGCAGTGCCATGATGACTGCAACTTACTCTTAAATGGTCCAGAAGGAAAACTGAGACACAGATACACATATACACACTGCAGAAAGATAAGGAAAACTGGCAAAACAATAAAGATAGTGACTCTAAAATTTATGTACATGGGTGTCACAGTTCCATAGGGGGTTCTTTGTTTTTTCTGTTTGGTACTTTTTGTTCTTTTATTTGTGGTGTTAAGAATTGAACGCAGGGGGCTGGTGAGATGGCTCAGTGGTCTAAAGCACCTACTTAGAACAAGCTAAGCTAAGCAAAGCACAGGGACCGCAGTTCAATCCCCCAGCACCACATGCCAGCCAGCCCCGCCCCCTGGTGGGCTGAGCTGGCCACATACACAAAATAAATAAATAAAAGATCATCCATCTGATTAAAAAAAAAAAAAGAATTGAATGCAGGATCTTCATAATGAACCACATCTCCATCCTTTTATTTTTCACTCTGAAACAAGGTCTATGTTGCTAAATTGCCCAGGCAAGGCTCACATGTGTGAGCCCCCTACCTCAACCTCCCAAAGTGCTGGCATCATAGGAGTATGCTTTCCATTCCAACTTTGAAGTGTTTTTTTTTTTCAATATAATTTTAGACAAAAAGTATAAACATACTAAAATAAAAGGGAAGCCAGATGTGGTAGTGCATGTCTGTAATCCCAGCATTCAGCAGGCTGAGGCAGGAGGATCTTTGTGAGTTTGAGGCCAGCCTGGGTGATATAGTGAGACCCTGTCTAAAATAAAAATAAAAGGGAAATTTTCAGGTGATATGCTCATTCTTTCCATAGGTCTTTCCTTATACTAAAATACGCTCTTTTGAGTGAAGTACTGTACTATTTCCTTATACTGGACATTTTTTTCCCTTATAGATAAAGAACAAAAAATGCTACATCTTAGTTGGCTACCTGTCATTTAGTGAACCAAATAAGTCTATGCTTCCTAATTCTAACTTGGATAAAGCTATGATCCACCAAAGAAGAAAAGTGAAAAATGGCATCAATTCAACATTCAAGCCATGAGCTTGAAAGAGTACACCCAATGATCCTGCAGATCAATTTCACTGTATCTCTTTTTCTTTTCAGAGAGGCTAGAATAATATTCTAAAGCTTAAGCAGAATAGGAGAAAAGGAAAATTAATTATTAGGATTGCATCAAATGTTTGGTTTCCAAAGATGTACATACACCTCAAGCACTGTTTTCCCAACAAACTTCCAGATAAAAATTCTGTAATGATTCTACCAGAGTACTCCACCAGTCAGCCTCTCCTGAGATCTACAAGTAAGGGCAGAAGCAAAACCTTACAGCACCCTATCCTTGGTTAACAGGTGTTTATTACTTTTAATACTAAGATTTAATGCTGGAAATATTTTCAATTTTTTTACTCCAATTCTCCAATTATTTCTCCAATTATCT